TTTCCCACTTGCTCTTGCCTCACAGAATATTCGACTGCACGTTCCACCATGTCTCACCGTCTCTCATCAGCATTCTCGGGGGGGGAGAGAGGGGGGTTCGAACTCGTATGGCAACAAGACAGATGTGAAATTCATGCCAAGTCAGGCCTCAATTGGATTATATTTTTGTATCTTCGCTTGTCGGTTCTGTCTACATGCATTTGCCATTATAATCGAAGATGTTACTTATTTTCGGCGTGAGTAGTATATCATAAAATCACGAATTGTTGAAGCAAGTCGCATTTGGGCTGACGAGAAGATGAGTTAAGACGAATTCGAACCTGTGGTCAATTCCAGCCTGAATGAGATTGCACTTTGGCAGGCAATGCATCCGAAAACCTCCTCGTCTCAACTAGCAGTCCTTGTAGTGTTGGTTCGACTTTGTTTTCGCAACTTGGTCGCAGCGTCAGGGCGACCTTGTGGAAGGTGCCTAGTCGTGTGTCGGCTGACCTGGAATTCGTGGTACATACCCAAACGTCTCGCCGACATCGTCAGTGAGAGGTACTTCTGTGCTTACACTGGCGCCTCTTACTGACGAAACCGGCAAGATGTTTGGGTATGTACCAAGTGAATGGTCCGGTTCTGGAAATCACAAATTCCAGAACAGCCGACACAAGCTTACTTCCATTTCGAGTGAACGTGTCACGTGAAGGGATTCGAAGGTCGATTCCACCGGAAGACGACGGCGGATTCATCTCAACCAGCTGTCGATTGGCTTTACTGGAACGTTCATGCTGACGCTGTTGCCGAGGCAATCTCACTCGATTTCGGTGAAAAGGTGCTAAGCTTTTGTCCATCACATGACGAACATCTTCAGAGCAAGTTATCATCGTCACAACCGAATTCGAGGTAGCGATTCAATGAATTTTCTTGACTCGCAAGTCTGAATTTGGTTGTGACGATGGTACCTTGCTCTGATGATGTTCATCACATGACGAACGGAAGCTTAGCATCTTTTCATCGGAATCGAAGAAGATTGCCTCGGAAACAGCCTCGGCATGAAAGTTCCAGTAAAACCAATCGACAGCCGATAAAGAGGAATCGGCCGTCGTCTTCTGGTGGAACCGACCTTCGAATCTCTTCACCGCAAACTTTCACTCGAAATGAAAGTAAGCTCAACAATTATGAAATAAGAGCTTCCTTGAAACACAACTTTTCTTCGCATATATTACGTTCCACAAAGTGGCCTTGATGCTCGTACCAAGTGGAGAAAACGAGGTCGAGCCAACTGTTCACATCCACGTATCAGTCCCTAATTCACTTTACTCGAGCTGGCCCAATCCAGTTCCAGTCTTTTTTCCGAGTTGCCAGGCTACCTTCCAGCCTCGGGCCGTCGATTTGATACATTTTCACACTTTTCCACAGCATCC